CTGGGGCCCGGGCGGCCCTGCCGGGGGCGTTGGCTCCGCACGTCGGGGGCCCGGCCGCGGCCCCCTGGCCCCACTGCCGGTGGGTCCGGTGCGCCGAGACCGCCGCCCAGGTCGCAGTGAGGGACTCGGCGGCAGCGGGGAGACGACTCCGACGTCAGCCGGGTGAGCGCTCGCTGGCAGCTCGCCGTCTCCGTCCACCCGCGGGGAAGTTGACGGCCTGGGAGAACCGGCCGGGCCTCCGATGCCACTTGGTTTAAGCGCAACTTTTAAAGGAGATGGGGACAAGTCTGTGTTGACCATTAAACCTAGAGTAGGGACCGCAGATGCCTCCTGGCCTGAGCACATCGGAGTTCAGAGCCTGTGGTTACTCCCGGGGCCCCACTGCCACGTCAGGAGCGGGCCCTGGGGCCCCCGGTTGGGGTGAGCTTGGGACGGGGAAGGGGTTCCAGCTACACACACACACAACACACACACACGCACGCACGCTGGGGAAGCTGCACTGGGGGCTCTTTAGGGCTGAGGGAGAGCGCCCCCTCAGAGCTCCGGATACAGAAACCCTCTCCAGCCTCCTGGTGGTCCTGGGCCTTTGGGGAGGGTTGCACGCTGGATGTCCGGTTACCCTGGGTCCCCTCGAAGCAGAGAAGTGAGAGGTGTCCCAGACCCGTCCCCAGAACAGAAAGTGTACACAGGACGTGGTGTCAGCGCAGGGAGGGGTTTCAGGGTGAGCGCAGACCCTCACAGGCCTGGAGATGGAAAGCGGCACAAACAAATCAGTACAGCATCGGTCAGCTTTGCTCAGAGCTGCTGGAAAAGCCGTGCTGCGGTCCGAGCTTCCCATTAAACTGACCCCAGAGTGACCTGAATGGTGGCTGCTCCGGAGCCACTAACTCTGGGGCTTTCCGCGGGCAGCCCCACTGGGAAGTAGCCGGTGGGGAGGAGGGAAGGAAGGTCTGTTCCTGAAGGCCACCCCTGCAGGACGGGTGACTGGCCACACCAGCATTTGTGTGTCAGGAAGGCTTCTGCTTGTGGTCCCTGGGAAGGCCCCAACTGGGGTGAAGGGGGAACCCAGGTGGAGCAGAAACTGGAGAACCCCAGAGAGTGCTGCTGTGCACTGGGGCTTAAAATAGGGTGGGTGGGGTCTAGTCTAGATAAATGAAAGATTCAACTGCAAAGCACTTGCTAGTTTTTGAAAATTCAAACGCAGCGAATGAGGTTGGGCGCAGGCCCGCTTCCCGGAACGTGGCACCTCAGGGCTGCAGCTGACAGGACTGCCTGGCCTGTGCCATTTCCTGGGCCCACGGCCAGGCAAACGCTGGGCCCATGTTGGGACCCCGTTCCCACGTGGAACCCAAGCAGCCTGCCTGGAGCATAAGCGGCTGCGGGGAGGCCAGAGCTGAAAGATCTGCTTGTTGACCTGAGTGCGTGCTCTCTCCTGGAACCCTAAATATACGGCTGTGATGCTTTTTTCTGCTTGCCTGCATGTTCTCACCAACATTAAAATAAAAAACGGAGTAAAATGCCCAGGTGCATCCCAACTACTGCCTTTGGAGGAGTCTGATCACCGGGGCTTGAAGGGAGCCTGCCAGGGTTTGGAGGCCTACTCTTCACTGAAGCGCACTGCCCTCCTTCAAAGCTGATGAGGGGTTTGCACTGCTGACCTCTCAGTCACTGTTAAACACGTAGCCACTAGACCCTTGTATTATTTTTTTTTTTAATAAATGCACTCCAAGCTCCCTAAACCCATGGCCACCAAGCACATTCTACATATGGAGACCATCCAGGGGGTGGAAGGCTGTAAATCTTTGCAGGATTCTGCTCCTCTTTCTCCTGCAGGACGGCTGGTGGATTCGAACCACCAACTCTTAGGTTAGCAGCTCAACGACCATATAGTCACTACCTACCAGTCACACCAGCGAGACAGAAGTCCTGAGTTCCAACCCCATTATTAACCAGTGAAGTCTGCTGCAGAAAGGGGGTGGTCAGCACACAGGGTGTGGCTGGGCGCTGGTGTTCACGAGGGCTCACCTTTACCATCACTGCTGATGTTGAGACCTGTCATCACTGCCTTGAAGGTGGCACAGTGCATGAGGTGTCGACTGCTAACTGAGAGGTTGGCTGCTCCAGAAACATGAACTGATGATGTCAGGTGGCCTCTAGTCAAGTACAACTCATAGAGACCCTGCGAACCACAGACCTGAACCCTATCCTATCCGGTGCCATCCTCACAATCGCTGGCACACCTGAACCCATTGCTGTGGTCACTGTGTCCAGCCTTCTTTTGAGGAATCTTCCCCTCCTTCATAGTCCCTCCACCTTTCCAAGCATGACGCCCTTCTCCAAGGAATAGCCTCTCCAAGCAAAATGGCCAAAGTGTGGCAGGTGAAGCTTTGTCATCCTTGCCTCCAAGCAGCATTCTGACTGCACCGTTTCCAAGAAATACCTGTTCGTGGACAGTGTCCTGTAAACACTGACTCCTCAGAGACTGATCGAGACCGATGGGTGCCCACCAAGAGAGGAGCCTGGCAGCAGTGAGTCTTGTTTGAATACAAGTCTGTGCTCATGGGAGGCCAGAACTAAAGTGTCCATCCTGTGTCCTGGGGTCTGCGGTCAGCCACTGGTCCCATCCACTTAGTGTTTTTACAGAAAGCGATTCCAGTGTCCAGAGACAGCAAGGTTCGAACCAGGCAGAGGACGTGGCATGTTTGGTGACCTCCTCCAGCACATCTGAGGGCCGGTGCTAATGTCCAGTTCCCCTCCCTGACAACCTGGGGCATGACTAGAAAGAGGGGCTCCCCCCTTGCTCCCCAGTGCCCTGGAGCTTTGAGGCCCAGTAGCCCACTGATGGATTCTCAGGGGTCCTCCACAATGGTCTCATCAGAACAGAAAGGGCCTGGAGTCCATTCACCCTCAGCTGTCCTGAGCTCCTCGCCCTGCCCAGTGCTGGCTGCAGAGATGCCATGGCCGGCTGTTCGCTGTGCACCTGGAGCTCCTGGCACTGTAACCCACGCCTGTGTTCTGCACACTCCCCTGAGGTGTTTCACGTGAAGCAAATGCTTTTGAAAATAAAAATAGAATTTAAAAAAAGGCAGAAGCTGAGACTCTGGCCTTGCACGTGAGCGAGCACACCTGAGGTTCTGCCAGAGTGCCTGCAGACGTGACCCTGGAATCCGACACACACACCCCCAGAAAACTCCTGGGCCCACTTTAAACAGGAGAGCGCTGAGGCGCGTGCGCGAGCACACACACACACACACACACACACACACACACACACACACACACACACAGTTGTCTGTTGGGGAAGCTTGGCGGGAAACCCCACTAAGACACAGGGTCTTACACACACGCACTTACTTTGGACAACTGTGACGTTGGCACATAGACACAGGGGAGCCAACATTTCACTATGGTTGTGGATGGCAGAGGAGGACTGAAAGTCTCACCACGCAGCTCACAAACCAGCACATCTCAACCTGACCGGGAGGACACTGTCCCTGCCCGGAAGTGGCCAATCTGAACACTGAGCCTGAGCTCCTGGACAAAGCTGGAATCTCACTCTCCAAGTAGACTTAGTTTATCCTTTCCTGTTTTGTGAACTCAGAGTGAGGGGCATAGCTCTTGTGTCCCAAACTATGCAGGACCTGAACCCTCACTTGGCCCATCCTGGGCTGCAGTGGCCTCTAGTGGCTGATCTGGGTCTATGCATCCACCCAGAGACACCTGTGTGCCCTCAATTTCTCAGTGTCGTTAGGGCTGCAGAGTCACCCATAGGGCCCCCAAAGCTGTGAGGTGTTCAGAACAAACATTGCCCTGGAGCAGGTGTGGGTTTGAACCTCCAACCCCTGGATGGGAAGCAGGTGAATTAACCCAAAGTGCCTTCCTCCCTCAACCAGTGTCCACCATACACCTCCAGGAGGCAAGAATGGGAAGCCCAGCATACCTGGCTTTCTCGGCTCCCCTGACCAGGACATCCCCTGCATGGACACAGTAGGAGGTCAGCTTTGCATTTCTGCAGCTCCAGCCTCACGCAGGTGGTGGCAGGTCACAGTTCACACTGCTCCTGGCACCCCTGAGATCCTCGCTGTTGGCAGAGGATGGCTCCTCACCCCCCCCCATCTTTCAAGCTGAGACTCAGAGAACACAGGATGAGGAGAAGCCTAGAACCCCCGTCATGGCCTCTCACCCCATGTCTGGTCAGCAGCCCATGGACTACCTCAGGAGAGACCCAAACTGGCAGATGGTGATGGGCCAAAGCCAGATGCAGAGCTCCAGAGCACACAGGGTCTGCTATTGGGGGAGGGTCCTGACGGACCTGGAGGTGGGAACGGAGCAACGAGGGACAGACTGAGGTGTGGAGGAGGGCGGTGCTCAGCTCGCTCTTGG